ACTGCGATAAAACAAGGGCCACATTATTTTAGCCTTCATACCTACGATATACAATGAATTACTTTGCTTAGTTTTGAAGTTAACTCCCCCTCGGCTTTTCACTGTCAAATAAACATAGCTTCCTCATGCACTTGGTTTTGGATTTCGAATTTTAAAAAGTGATCAATACAGTTTTAACCGCTATAAAATATATCTTTTCTCTTTTGAGTCTGTAACCTTTTGAATAAATTGGATCTTTTGCACTTGCTAATTTGCCAAAAGAATGTTAATTTTCTGTATTTGCTCAATCCATCTCATTTTATTAGATATCATGTGCCTGAACATCGAATATAGCCCTTATTTCCATGGTCCCTTTGTTTTCTAGTATCATTTTCATCATATTTTCTCTTAAGCTTAATGAAGACCCAATTCTTATATCTTTACATGTTCACTAAGTAAATAGTTATTAGTTCTCGCACTAATTATATTCTAATGACAAGTCCTGTTTCCCCCTGTACTAATTAACTCTACTTGGGAATCCTTTTGACCATGCAATTAGGTTTATTCCTGCTACTTTTGCTTTGATAGGTCTTAACTGACCTCCCATTTGGTTTAATAAGCTATTACTTTGCTTTCCATCCATTTCATTCTTAAGTTCAAACTGGAAATCAGCATGCGCAATCCATGCCACCTTCCGGACAGCCCCTTCCTAACGAGTCCGTCCCTCCTGACTCTGCTGGGCTTGCCACTAGCTCGGCTGGTGTGACCTTATCGACTCCTCAACCAGGCCAATCTACAGCTGGAGTACCTACACAGATGCCGCCACCGCCACCACCCATGCAGCACCAAATGCCTCAGCATCATTCTGGCATGTACTACGCAGGTAGGCTATACGAAGCTGGAATAAACCCGCCTCTATAATTTTTATTATTCTCATTCCTCCATTATGAAAAGACATCTTTAATAAGTTGTAGTAGAATTTAATTTTTTTTTCCAAATTAATATATATTTTAAGGGTTTATCCAATCTATTTCTTCCTTCTATTCTACTAGATGAAAATTGGGATTGTTAACTTTGAGAGTCTCTAAAATTAATTATCTTTAATTAAAGGTATGAAGACCAAGATGTTGTGGCCCTATGTGTGTTCTTAGTCTCCTTTCGGTGTCTAGAAGTTGTTTGACCTAGTAGGAAGACTTAGAGGAACGTATTTAGTCCGGAGTCCATTGTATGCATGATAATTTCCAGTCGGACCGTGGACGTGGTACATCGCCAGATGTTTCGCTGCCATTGTTAGTGAGTCTTGCCATACTTAGCATCACACTACAACTCGCCAGTGACAAATGAAGCCGGTCATTCGACCAAATGTCTGCTAAACAATTGTGGTATCTCTCCTTCTATCCTCGGCTATTCACCTATCCTATATCCTCGTATCACACACATTGATCCGAGTCTGCCATATTGTTACACAGTCTTCCTTTCCTAGGTCTTATCAGAGTCTCGCTCTTGCCCCGTAGGATCTGTCTGCTATCGCCCTGGTTCAAATATTGCCCTCAACTCCTGCCACCCCATCTGTGCTACTCGAGGCGTTTTTTCCCACTGCTTCTGGGAGAGTA